AAAATCAACTTGATAGCAGTGAGTTGGGTCAGGTTTTTGGGGGGGCAGGTGTTTTTCCTTTGTATTTAAAATATACAACTGCAGTTAGTACATGTTCCTTATCTATGTTGGAACAATACATTGTTGCCTGTAGAATGAGAAGCAGCTCACCTCTAGCCTCTCTAGTCTCTTCCTTTCCCAGAAGTAACTACTATTAGCAGTTACTGTATTTTCATGTATTTGTCTCCCCTTCTAGAGCATAGCTCCCTGGGCCAGGGATCTTTGTGCCCCAGGATCTCATGCTGACATGAACCGGGGCACCCTGTGTGGGTCTAGGGGAGAGGATGGCTGCCTTGTGAGGTGACACAGTGTGGCAGGGAGTCTTCACCTTGAGTGCTGCTTATAACCTCATGCTTTCTGTCTGTCCACTGGTGCTATTTCTCAGGTTGTATGAGCAGCTCCCAGAAGTTCAGAAAAGGAAAGAAGAAGAGAAGAGGAGGTCAGATTATAAGTCGTACCGGTTGCGAGCCCAGCTCTATAAAAAGGTCAGTCAATCGGAGATTCAGGTTGGTCAGATTTCTCAGGTGAAAAAGCAATCAAGAGAACACATCTGACCTGTTGGAACATGCACTCAGAATTGACCAAATTTAGGACGTGAATTTCGGCTTGTAAGCTCCTGTGAGCAAATTTCAAATCTGCTTTAGCCCCGCCACTAGAAAGCAGTGTTTTTCTCTCAGACCCCCTCAGCCCTCATGCTATGCCTACTTGTGGAATGAAACCAAATTTCACACTTAGTCGCCCTTTTAAATGTCATAGTGGAACTGTCTCAATCCACCAGAATTGTGGGGTTTTATTCTAGACTCCCAAATGGTAGTTTTATGCCTCTTTAGGGGTACATCATCATATACCTCTAGAACTTTCAGAATAAACTGGAAAAGTGTGACATGAGAGTTGGCAGTGGTGCTTCCGATTCAAAAGGCTCAGACTGCATGGGTGTCACTGCCAATTCAGAGATACCTGACGAGCTATTGTACCAGAAAGTCCGTGTCTGTCCAAACCAGCCTTATTCTTGTTTCCTTCCCAACCCCCTACTGCAACCTGGACTCTGAAACTCAGAAATTGAAAGACCAGTTGGTACCAGATTGGTGTGGGATTGGAGAACCAGCTTCTGGAGGCCTGGCACATGGGGAGGCCCCAAGCCTTGCAAGGCCCACTGGTGTGCCCGCACCACAAGACCAGTGTCTTGTTGGCTTGTGTGTTTACAGCAGGTATTGATCTCTTTCCTAAACATTTCTGGAAGCATTTTCTTATACTTGCTATAGTTTCTATAGCTGAGGACAATAAACAGGATTTCGTTGGAACCGTGCTGTTCTCTTCAGTGATGTGTGAAGTAAGAATGTAGCTTTCTGCCTATGATGAGAGAATACCTAACTACCTTCCTCCCTTTCTTTTCCTCACAGAAAGTGACCAATCGACTCTTGGGGAGAAAAGTTCCCTGGGACTGACATAGATTATTTTCTTCAGACCCCTGGAAGTTATATTTTATAAACCTGGAGAAGCACAAGCCTTACTTTTATGATCTGCGTTTAATAAAATTTACTCTATATCCATGTGTAATTTAGAAATCATCTTTTGAAGAGTCTGGGGCAGAGCCCTGGTTAAGTATCCTCAGGGTTTGGGAACAGTACTTGTTCAACACTGGCCTTACCCACCTCACTGTTTTGTTCCCATGGTCTCTGTGTATTCTAGCTTAAAGTGAGTCCCTTTTTATATGTGTTTTTATACTTTTAGAAAATAAATCACTTGATTGACTCAGAATGAACAAGCACAGAGGGTCGTTTCTTTCCCCATCTGAAATGTTCAGTGAGCCCGCCGGTGTCTCCCCTGAGGTGTGGAAGCGGCCATCCAAGAACCTCAGCAAAGGGAAATGGGCTGTTAAAACAAAATGTGACCATGTTTCATCCAGCATGCCCCAAGACTGCAGCAGACATGGCTTGTTGGGTCCAGCGAGCCGCACTACTTACAGACTCTCTCCAGGGCAGCCTCCTTCTGAGGCGGATTTTCCTTGTTCTTGTTTTCAAGAATTCTCAGACATTCATTATTGCACATGGAAGCGCTGTTTATCACTTACTACATGGAGAACAACTTTTGAAAAGCATTAATTAGTGCCAGGATCAGAGTATCCCTGTGGCCTGGAATTACAGTCAAGCCCCACAGTTTGAGGAGAAGGTCACCCCTGGTGAGCTGAGAAAACCACCAGCAGAGAGAGCAGTCTGGCCAGCTGCCTCATCAGAAATCACACTGAGAGGCCCAGATCACAGAACAGGCTCTGCCACCAAACTTCATCCTACCAGGCACTCTTCCACACAAGAGCCCCAAAAGGAGGAGAGAGAAGTATAGCTAGTTCTCCCCTTACTTGCTGGCCAGGTAATTCACTCTGGGCCAGAGTACCTGTAAAATGAGAGTTTTAATTCTCCTCTAGAGGAGAATTCTCCTCTAAGAAGAGAATTTTAATTTTCCTCTAAGAGCTATGACTATGTACATGTCCTCAGGAAAAAGATGAGGCTTTCTGCTCCCACAAAGAATTTTACAGCCTCAGAAACGCTAAACAGGGTCACTAAGAACCAGCTCAACGGCACTTAGCAACAGCTGCACGTGTCTTGTGGGAAGTCACAATTCAGAATGGAAACAGAAGATGATAGCTGGATCATCTTGGATCAAAACTTGGATCTGCAAGGAAGCCAGGACAGGATGAAGGGTGAATGGAATGAAGAGCATCCTTCTCACCTTGCTGTCTCCCAGAGCCGTTAGGTCCAGGGCCTGGGAAGCATGCTCCTCTGGCTTCAGACAGAACACACTTGTGAGTTCGACAGGCATGCTGGGGAGAACCTGGTAGCATTTCCAGGAGTTTCATTTAAACACGAAACTTACCAACTGGCTTTCTCATGGTACCAGTGTCTCCCCAGGCCGCCAGCAAAGGCACACAGCATAAGGGATCAGTACCTGCAGGACCTCTCATGCTTGGCCCTCCCTGCCCTGGGTGTGAGAGACCCCATGGGTGTGCTAATAATGGATCAAGCCTCTGACAAAGGTACTTGCCTCAGATAATCCCAGTGCTCCCAGTATCTGGTCCACCACAGGCTTAAGCTGATTCCCTCATTCTGCTACACCATCCTGTTGGAAGGCCCAGAGTCACCACCCACATGCCACCATTCCTGCGACCTTTCACTGACCACACACCAGCCTTGACAGCATCTTCCTCTAAAAGTGATCTTTCCCTGTCCCCAGCAGGACCTTGAGCTGCTTGGTTTGCTGAGCCACTGCCCCCCTGGTTTTAAGCTGTCAGGATCCGCTCTTGAATTGCTTCTTGCAGACCTCGTTCAGACCTGACCTGAGGACCCACTGATGTCTTTTCTCAAAGGTCAGACTGAAGCCTCCTCAGCCACCCTCCCTCCCTGACGGCAGCTTCTGCTTCTGCCCACCACTTAGGCCAGACCTTGGGTGACCAGCAGCACTCTCAGTTTCAACAGAGGGGCTGTAGAAAGAAGGTCTAGTGTCTTAGTTATAGATCACAGTACATTTCATGTCTGAAACAAATGCCCTGACCAGTTGTTAGGAAATGAGCTGAGCTGAACTGTTGGTGTGGCCTGCATCTGGACTGGTTTGCTAGCTAGGTCGTTTGAACCTGCAGTGTTAGCTTTATTTTTACTGTCTCTGAGCCTTCCACTGTAGCCCTGTCCCAGTTTCTCACTAAACAGAAAAGAAAAAAAGTTGAATAGCATCAAAATTTGAAACTAACATTGTTGGTCTCTAAGGGGGGCCCTCTTGGCTCCTCCACAGCCCTTCCCCCTAGAAATCTCCCAAAATGAAAATCCGCTTCACAGAGCCTCAGTCCTCTTGGACAGGATTTGAAGTGGCTCTAGGCAGCCTTCCTATGTATGCTTGTGTGTCCCAAGTGCAGTCCTCAAGAAACGGTCCACCTGCCATGGAGAATGCTGGAAGTTCAGGACATCTCCCGAGCCATAGTAGAGCAAGGCCTGTCTCACCCTCTAGACATCCCAGTCCCTATCTGCCACCTCATGAATGCTTATCAAGCTCTAGAGATTCGAGTAGAATCCTATTGTCTATGTAATAATTGCTTTCTGAAATGGCCTAACGCTTTAATACATAAATGATCATAGGTGAACCCAGTCTGATGGGTTTTGCATTGGCCTGTTTAACAGCTTGCAAAAACAGGCAAAGAAGAAAGCCCATGTCTCCTGGACTTTTGCAGAGAAGGTTGGGCAGTTCTGCTAAAATATCTGTGACATTTAAATGTATCTGAGTGTCCTGTATTTCATATCTTCCAATTACCATGTGCATTTGAGATGCAATGGCTGAAAAAGGAAAGACCCAGAGAATCCTTTCCCAATTCTATAAGGGAACAGATTCCCTGCGATTCAAGAGTGCTGTCTGCAAGGGTCCTGGTGTGGTGCTGTAGGATGGATAAGCACTGCAAGGTCGATTTGAACCATAAGATGGGTGCTTCAAGCTCATCAGACATTCCTTGGAAACCCTATACAGGGTTGCTATGAGTCAAAACTGACTCTCTGGCACTTAACAACAACAAATCTGCAGC